GGCTCTTACAGTTTCAGTACTGGAAACTCTGGTGCTTACAGCGGAAATGGCGATGTCAGCGGTAGCTCTGGATCATACAGCTACAGCAGCAATGGATATAAAGACAACTCCGGTGCCTACAATGCTGATTACTCAGGATCATACAAAAATGACGATGCAGGAAAATACGTAGCTGGAGTCTACAGGGCTGATGGTCACATTGGTTCTAATGCTGGACTAAGCGGCAGTTCTCAGAGCCAACTGAACATAGATCACGGAACTTACAGTATAGCTAATTCAGGAAACTATTTGAGTGACTCTAAGGCTTACACGGGAGCTTCTCACACATTAACAGCTGGTGCTATTAATGTGGGTTTAGTAGGAAAGACCACATTGGTTGACGCTGACTACTCTAACCAAGGTGATTATCAAGCTGGCTCTAACGGGTATAGCTTTGGTTCTACAGTGAGCCACGGTGCTACTCACCAAACGGTGCATCCTGGACATGTGTCGTACATATCGCAACCTGCGGTATCCATCCATCATCTTGGTACTGATGGAAACAATTTAGATGGATACGAGTTCGCGACCACTCCAACGTCTTCAGGAATTCCCACCACAGCAACTCCCTTCGCTGTCACAACAGCTATACCAGTAACGACGTACAGGACAACATTTGTACCTGAACCTCCTAAGACAAGTATCAAGCAAATTTTCACACATACGCAACCGGAATTGACTTATGTGAAACCAGCAGTGGTTGCTGTGAAACAATACGTTACGCCAAAGGTAGAAGTATCCGATTATAACCAGGGTATAAACGTAGATAACGGCTACTCATACTCATCTGGTGATTATTCTACTCAATCCTCAACTAAATCAGAATCTGGTTATGTCTACAACAAACCGAGCGTTAAATTCGAGGAAGGAGTCACATATTCGACCCCAGCTCCTGTTGTTTCTGTCTCTACTTACAAACCTCAAGGCTTCAGTCACAGTCAGCAAACGCTTCATAAAGTAGAATCTGTAGGATTTGAATATACAACACCTACACCGATTCATGAAGAGCCTTTTAAGAAAATCGTGGCTTATACTACTGGGCCATCTGTAAGTACGTACGTTCAGCCTACAGTTGCTACTGTACCTCAATCTTTCAGTCACCAAACTATTCACAAAGTAGAAACCAATCATGCTTACACTCCGTCAGTTGAAGTGGGCAACGATTACTCAAAATCTGAGATCAGTTATCAACAACCAGAAACGATTGTTCAGTACACGACGGCTCAGCCAGCGGTTGTATCCTCCACGTACGCGCCCCAAGTCATCAGTCATCAAACGTTACATAAAGTTGATGCCAGCAAAATCAATGCTTATTCGCAAAACTCAGAGTCAGGATATGAATATAAACAACCTGAAATCAAGTTTGATGAAGGTTCTAAGGTCTTCGAATATTCCACCCCTGCACCAGTAGTCTCTTCGACCTACCAACCTCAGGTCTATAGCCATCAGACTATTCACAAGTTTGAGACTAAACACGCCGTTCCTGTGTCATCTACAGCCAGTCCTCAAGTAGCTATTTCCTATCAACCAGCCGTGACCGTGTATGAAAACCCCATTATCAAGTATACTAAAAAACCGACTCCGATAACTTACGTAGAGTCTTCATACAAACCTCAGTCGTACAGTCATCAAACAATTCACAAGACTGAGACCAAATCTTACACACCCTCTGTTGATGTCGGCTCATATGAATCAAGTGTTTCTTATGAACAGCCATCAGTAGTTCATCATTACACCACTGCTCAACCAGCGCTTGCTGTTCAGCAAGTTGTGTCGACTTACCAACCTCAAGTGATCAGTCATCAGACTCTGCACAAGGTAGAAGCAAGCAAAGTCAACACATTTTCGCACGAAGCTCAATCTGGTTACGAGTATCAGAAACCACAGGTATTCTATGAAGAATCAGGGTATGAATACAACAAACCTGCGGTTAAGTACGAAGAAGGTCCTAAGGAATACATTCAGTATACTACTCCCACACCAATCCAAGTATCTACATATAAACCACAGACGTACAGCCACCAGACAATTCACAAAGTTGAAACACAAAAATACGTGCCAGTATCTTCAACTGCCCTACCACAAGTGGAAGTTTCTTATCAACAACCCACAGTTTCTGTGTATGAGAATCCCCTATTTAAATACTCCGAGCCTGCTGTTACGCCAGCAACTTATGTAAAGCCCACTCCTATTGTTTACACTCAAACTTATAAGCCAGTTGTAGCTCAACATGAAGTAACTCACATAAGTCAGCCGGTGCAATACCAAACCAACGACGACCAATCGTATTCTCACCAGAACATTCAATTCGGCCAAGAAGGTTATTCGTATAGTCAGCCGGAGATACAACGAAATGAAGAAAACTTGAATGCTGCTAAATCTTATTCTGATGCTAGTGTAGTGTCACATCAAGTATTCCACCAAACTCATGTGCCAGCGCAAACAGAAAAAGTAGTGTTTGTATCTACTTCTCCGTCAACTCTTGCTTATGAAGAGCACTACAGTGAGTACGACTCCTCAAAGAAAGACACCTATAAGGCTCCCGAATACATTCCACCAAAAACTGATTACCAACAATCCTATTCTGTAGTGTCTACGGCTTCGACTCCCATAGTTCAGCATAATAGTGCAGTTTACCACCAAACTCAAGACCAAAGTGATTACCAATCATCTGGATACTCTCAACAGTACGATTCTGTTCCTGTACAACAAGTTTCATTCAGTACATCTCATGTGACGCAACCTAAGAAAGTTGTTACAAAATACAAGCAAGTCGGATACCAGTCCCCTGAGATTCAAGTTGCATACAAAGCCGAGGAGTATCTACCTCCAGTAGTTTCTACAGAAACACCATACATTGTTTCATCCACTTATAAACCTTCGACATATTCTACAGCCGCCACTACCCGTGAGTACCTTCCTCCGGTTTCTCAAGTCAAATACGAAGTTGATAACTCTTATCTCCCACCTTCCACCACCGCCAGACCTATCGTGAAGTCTACCACACAGGCACCTACTTACAAATATGTTGAGTCGACCACAAAATACCAAGCTCCAGACTATTTGCCACCTCAAGAAGATAGCAACTCGAAGACAGTACATTTTGAAAGCTTCGGATACAACAACTACGATGGATACGACTCTAAAGTGCAATACAATCCATACCAAGAATACAAATCTGCGGAAGACACTGTTGTATCGTCTACTTATGCCCCAGTTCAAAGGAAGCAAAACATTGTAGTTGAAACTGTCAAGTCACATTTACTTGGATTCGGTACTGTAGGCCCAGACGCTGGACTTGTGTCACCTGCTTCTTACACCACAGCCGCACCAGTTGTTTCCACAACGTTCAGACCTATTAAATATACAACGAGCGCTCCTACTTACAAATACGTTCAGTCGACTACAGAATACAAAGCACCTGAATATTTACCTCCCTCTGAAGAAACTGAAAGCGCTGCCAATTTCGAAAGCTTCGGATACAAAAATGTTGAGTCATCTAAGATCAAATACAATCCTTACGAAGCATCAGTAGACACATACCAAGCGCCAGTTGAAAGAAAACATAACATAGTAGTTGAAACAGCCAAATCTAACCAACTTGGTTTTGGAACAGTGGGACCTGACGCTGGGCTTGTATCGCAAGTTTCTTACACAACATCGGCACCTATTCAAGTTAGCAGTGAAACATATTCCGTGCCACAACGGGTTTCAACGCCTGTATACAAACAAGAACTAGTCGAAGTTACTCCATCACCTGCTTACCTACCGGTGCGACGAACCAAGCCTAAGGTTGCTGTTGTGACCAAAATAAACGACTTCAACCCTCTTCTCGTGAGGAAATTGGGTGCTGTATGCAGTTGTCAATCGCCTGTCCTAGTTCTCAAAGGAAGAAGACCTAATGTGCAAGCAGAACAGGACTTCGATGACTATAGCAACGATTACGATGGTCGTGGTGATATCAACGACAACCAATGGGCCCAGAAGACTGCCAGAATACGTACACTAGCGGCTACAGCTGCCCCTATAGTTTCTTCTACTACATTTAATCCGATCATCGTCCCTGATGACTCATACTACCAGGATCTTCAAGACGGATACGAGTCTAGAGATAAACAAGTTTACTCAAACGGTTATGTTTCAAGCACACCTGCCGTATTTTCAACAACTGAAAAGATTGTTAAACTTAGGCCAAGAATTAAGTCTGTGACGGTTGCACCTACATACAAAACTGTCTTGTTAAATCAAGAAGTGGCGCCTACTGTAATTACGAAGCAAGCGGGAGGCGAAGCTTCGGCTGTAGACTCTCAGGCATTTGATAGATATGGCCCAGGTGGTTGGAGAAGCAGAGACGAGACTCTACAGGGTTCCGTTGATTGCCAGAGGGCTGGGTTGTTCCGTCATCCCAAACAATGTAACAAATTCTACGCTTGCAGATGGGACTGTACCAAGCAGAGGTTCACTCTTCACGTTTTTAACTGCCCAGTTCAACTAAGCTTCGACGAAAGCTTGGGAGCATGTAACTGGCCCAGCCAAGGACCTGCTTGCCAGGGTGATACGCTTCTTACCAATACTCTTTAAATACAAGTGATAAATCGTTAAATCTGTGCCATTGAAAACATGTTACCATCAATAAAATCTCAATTTTCACTAATTAAGATAATGATGTGTCTCTCTTCTTGTAATTTTAGAAGCTTATTTATTTGTTTGATTTTGTTAATGTTATTTCGTAGTTATTTATTAATCATTTACATTCCGCTTCTGTCTTGCTAAGGGTTTTTACTTCTATCAATTCATCGGTTGAACATAAGTTACCACTGCCTAGTTTATTAATATGTTACGATTTGTAAAATAGTAAAGTCATGCTTTTGTATTTTTATAAATTAATTTAGAATTGATACGCTGTAATTGTAAATATATCATTTATTAAAATGAGTGTAGTTTTATATTATTCCCTTATGTATATTTTTCCCAATCATATTTAAATATTCAATGCGACTGGTTTTTCTACTTCAGCTAAAGCAAGTGCATACTTCGAAAGAACAGGGTCGACTTCTTCCTCGATAAACTCAGTGACTTGCTCCGGAGCTCTTCCAATGAAGGTTGAGGCATCCAAGATTTTGTCCAGCTGCGAAATAATAGGTGCAAAGTACGGGTCACTCTTAACTCGTGCAATCAAATCGTTATCCTTTCCGTGTTGTTTCACTTGGGCACCTGCTTCATGGGAAAGTACTCTTATTTTCTCATGACACACTTGACGGTCGCCTCCAGCTTGCACCATAGCCATAATAATATTTTCTGTAGCCATGAAAGGTAGCTCCTGGGCTATATGACGAGCAATTACTTTCGGGTACACTACTAGGCCTTGGCAAACGTTAAGGAGAGTGAGTAGTGTAGCATCAGCGGTTAGGAATGCTTCGGCAAGGGTGATACGGCGATTAGCTGAGTCATCCAGGGTCCGTTCCAGCCACTGGACAGCGTGAGTGTTGGCTGCATTCGCGTGCAAAGTTATCAGATGGCGAGCAAGGGCGCAGCAACGTTCAGACCTCATTGGGTTTCTTTTATAAGGCATAGCACTTGATCCGATTTGGGATGCCTCAAAGGGTTCTTCGAGTTCCTTGCGGGAAGCAAGAATACGAATATCCGAACACATTTTGTGGACTGTTGCACCTAACCCTGATAGAGCAGCGACGACTTCCAAGTCAACTTTCCTAGAGTAGGTTTGACCGGTGACGAGGTAGCGTTTGTCAAATCCAGCCAGTTCTGCAACTCTTTTGTCGAGGGCTTTGACTTTAGCGCTGTCTCCGTTGAAGAGTTGGAGAAAAGAGGCTTGGGTACCTGTGGTTCCCTTGACTCCGCGGAATCGTAAGTCGTCTCTGGCTCGGGAGAGTGCACGCTCGTCCATCAGAAGGTCACTAAGCCATAGAGCAGCTCGCTTTCCAACGGTAGTAAGTTGAGCTGGTTGGAGATGGGTGAACCCGAGGATGGGAATTGACCTGAAATGAGAGATATAAAGCAATGTTACTACAAATTTGAACAATTATCTTCATACAAACTTGTCTTTTTTTGGTCTTGTTGCATTTAATTTTGGTCGATGTTTATTGTAAGTAAAATGCCGATTGCGTAGCATAGGTACTCGTATATTGTTTAAAGCAATATGAATGGATGTTGAGAAACAAAACAATGGCGTCGTGAACTTGACGGGATGCTTGAAATCACGACTAGGCCATATCAACGTACATCATTATAAAAACATAATGTTGGTAGCTAATTGTAGTGTGTGCATTGTGGACTGTGGTGCAGCTTTTACAAGTCTATTGGTGCAGATTTACCATATCAAACTTTAACTGTCTTACCCAGATCAATGATCATCGCTGCAAACCACAGCCCTGAAGTTAAATAGCAGTAAATAATCAATTTGGACATAGACCTTATAGTCNACTATTAGGATAGCGCCGAGCTAAAGCTATTCAGAATCCAGATGCGGACATCGATGAGCCATTTATAGCCCCAGATACGAGTATTAAAAACCTACAGATTGAGTGTCATATCTTAATAGTAACAACACTTACTTATGCTCATCAGCAAACTGCGACAGCCTGCTGATGACAGCAGCGAGTCTCGGAATCAGCAGGTCAAGCCCGTGCTTCAGCACGATCAGGTCGGTGTTGTCTCCAACGTAGCAAGAGGTAGCGCCCAAGTGGATGATGGGAGCGGCTTTAGGGCAGCGCTGCGCCAACGCATGCACGTGGGCCATGACGTCATGGCGCACGCGCCGCTCGTGCTCCGCCGCGCTTGCGAAGTCGATGTCGTGGATAGCGCCCTCTAGCTCCGCGATCTGTTCTGCGGTGATGTCCAGGCCGAGCTCCTGGAATTGAGAAACAAAATAAATTAAAAACAAATTCAACAGACGAAAAACGTCCACATTTAGGCCCGCAATAAATGGTCCGCTTGAAGCAGCTAGCATCGACAGCTTCAAGCTACGACTGCTAGCAAACTACAGTATTCTACGTGCACACATACACCTCGAACTGCTCCAGCAGTTGTGACTGTTTCTGGCAGTTGGCATACACTTAAAACGGGCTTTAGAATACCTACGACAAATACGACTTGAAAATACGCTCTCTATCAGAAGATGACAGGTCAAAGTTACAAACTCAGACTGATAATAATTGTTGGCGAATGCTTTGCCTCAATTTTGACAAATTGTTATTATTTTAAATACGCTTGTAGATATTGGCTTGTTTTGTTAGATTTAAGAACTCTACAACAAAGTTTCTTTTCTGTGGTATATTTTCCAACAATGAACATCATTTTATATTATTTATTCTCCAAATTTGCTACGGCCTCTTGCCAACAATGCAAAGTACACCATTGGTAATGGTGACTTCCACCGTTGACAATTTTCTAACAAAGCATAGGGCAGAGTGAAAGCGGTAGGTAAATACTTATTTGGTTTTGAAGCCGTTTCGTAATGTTTCCACAAAGAACCATGGCTCCATGGCACAGTTATGGTAATCACTCGTGTGACAAATTCTAGGGATTGGTTGGAATGGAATTTAAAAATGATTTAAGGTAGAGTATTTTATAATTCTCATTTGATTTTAATAGTTCGAAATACTTGACCACTTTCCTCGATATTTTCAAGCAACTATACTTTTCTCTACTTGTTTGAATGGTGTTTTTTATATTTATAGTATTTTTTGTCGGCCGATAGTTTGATCGGGCTGATAATCAGTATGAACATGTACGAGTATAATGGAAGTGTGCACATTACATCGATTTGATATCCGCCGATTCTTTATACTGCGGGAAGTCTTATTTAGTGTGACGTAGGTACAGTATTAAGTAAAAAGTTTAAAGTAGTAGCAGTTATAGTATTAGTAAGCGATCACAAATATAATTAATATTGTTTTACATAATAATAGTTCCGTTAATAATTTAAATGTATACCTAACTATCTACTACAAGACAATGGCAGGCTAGTGAAAGATACCACCCGTAGACAGCTACCAATTACCGAACTAATATCAAACTACGCTTCAATGCGTACTGGGCCTGTTATTACTGATGTAATGTTGAGTTTAATTGCATTTTTATTACAATCAATGAAAAAGCAGAAATTCGACAAAAAGCTGACAGCTGGCAACCCTAATGGTGCGATTGTTAATAAAACAAAAGAAAAAGATACCAAGACGTAAACGATCGTCGAGCAACGCACAGTGGTCGGAAAATTGAGCTACATTCTCATAGAAACTTAGTGAAATTACAAAAAAGATAGGAAATTTCAATGTATTTATAGCACATGTGAGCAATTAGTCATCCTTTAGTAGTAATCAGTCCTAAAATATGTTTTTTTTTTAAATATTTTCTCCCACTCAGAAATAAACTTTTTGTCTCAAACGTGAAGCTGCCCATGGCTCTATATTTTTGTATTGAATTATGAAATGATACCAGACAGGTACATTCCAATTTCTTTTCAATTCCTGAGTTTCTTGATTATTGAGCTCAAACTACAGACCACTAGGCCAGGGTATTCAAATGACTTTCTTGAGTATAAAGCTCAAATTCCAGACCACTGTGCCATAAAACACGGTGTTCATAAAGCGAATCTGTCTCAAAGCACACAGTGAAAAAGAAAGGAAATACAAGTGCGATTATTTTAGTGACAGTAATCGTGGTCGACCAATCCACTAAACTATTCAGTGCACAGATGCGTGTCCTAGTTAAAGTACTATGGAATGTAGAGCCGCTATTTTGGGGCAAGGCTTTGTATTCTTATTTTATTAACACAACCATGTGTTACTTATTCGTACAAGTTATTTTAAGCCTGGTATATTAATGCGAATGAAATGGCTTCAGATTTAAACAATTAAAATTAAGTTATTCTAATAATTTGACCGGAATTTACGAAATGAAAAATGTGTAAAATGTTATTAATCCACTCGTATGTGAAACGAAAATATTGTCTATGCCCTATTTAACGGAGTTACGAGGACTGAAACTATTCAGCGATATGGTATTTACAGGGTGATTCAAACGTGCCACTGTATATCTTAGAACCTAATACTATTTGAAAACGAAGGACAATATAAGAATCAAATGCGTTTATTTTCAGAAACGATTTGATATCTTAGGACGCGGATGACAGGTATACAATAAAGAAGAGCATAAAACAAAATCAAACTAACGAAAAAAGGGAAAATGAATCTTAATCAAATAAACATTGGCTTCAATATGAATGACGGAATGAAAACAACTTACGCGGCACCTGCCCTACTAATTCGCTGAAAAGATAAGATAAGTCCGCATGGACTATGCTGATAACCCATACTATACGATAAGTGAAATCACCCAGTGGCGAAACGACTGTTAACAAAAACAGACAAAGACAAAGCAATCTATGTGATAAAAAAAAAAAGAAAAAGAAGAACAGTGAAATTTGTATTTTAAAACAAGTGATAGTTCCAAAATAAGTGAAAATGGTGTCCGTACAAACGATTGCGACGATAGTGGTGAAAACCTTCAAAGTTGTGAGTAACCTAGTTAATTTTTATTACCTGTCACGATTATAAAGGAACTAGATCTGAAAGGCACCTCTTTCTGACCAATTTACAATACAATAAGACAGATAAAATAGAATAATTACTCTCTATGTCAGTTCTGTTGTTATCCTGAAATACGTTATCCCAAATAAGTAAATTCAGTACCGTGCAATACTTACCTAAAGGACACATTTCATCTTAGGTAAGTAATGTAAGTATAAGCACTAATTCCTTGTGTATTGTTTTGCGCATTAAACGCTATTTAAAAGAAGGAAAATAAATACAACGGCTTTCAACAGCCGGCCTATGATCTTATTTGTCGAGCTGACTTTATACAAAAACTACGTTACGCTAAATTTGAAGTTTCCTCAGACAAATTGATTCGTTGAAAGTGAACCTTTATTTTCCAATAAAAAGGAATAGTGAATTCTCTCCTGAATTATGATTTCATAACTGAAAATAGTGATGACCATATAAGTATACCTACCTACACTTACTCGTACTTTAGAGTGAAATATTAAACTGTTATTGAGAAATAAGTTTCTATTCAATTATTCAGGATTATTACAAGAAATCCGCAAGCAATTGATCCAAAGATGACTAACAACAATGAATAACATGAATGAATCATCAAGGAGTACGTGCATCGTACTATGGAATTAGACCATAGACAAACAAGAGTTCGCTTATTGGCGTCGCTTTATCAATACCACATAATGATGTCATAGTACTTGTAGAAGTGATAAATTGAGACATTAACAGTAACAATACTTTTGCAACTTTAATTACCTTACTCTTTGCAATAGACTTAATTAGTTCATTTTGTTAGAGGTTTCAGTGTGTTTAATTTGGCAGGGTTACCGGCCCTTGCGGCCTCATTTCCTATCACTAGATAACGCCACACCTTGTTGATAGCTTTAATGTGTCGTATAAATAAATTGTTTGACTACATATATATTTCATTGAACCTTTTTGTAATAAGCGAATTCTTCAAAGGGTAGGGTACTTACAAGGTAAATAACACAGCAATGAAACAATTAGGTACCTATGCACTCAGCACTGCCTAAGCGAAGTTGATTTCCCAAAACAGGAAAATGTGTTAGAAGAAATGTATTAAAAGGTATACACAAACACAACTAAATAAGTAATTTATTATTCTTTCAAACAAACATTTTATTAAATGTTAACTTAATTACCTATATACAGGGTGACAGGTAAAGCGATACATTCCTTGAAAGGGGTTAAAGTAGAGCTTATTTGCAGTCATTTAAGTCATATGACACCATGTCCGAAACTTGTTCATTTCCAAGTTATTCAAGATTTAAGTATTTTTTAAAAAATCTCCAGTTTTTATGTTAAAATGTACCCTTGTAATGAAGAATACGGAATAATCTTAACTTTTTTGTTGTATTCGTATAGCTAAATAATAAGATTGACATTTTAAATTAAAATTTGCAAGAAAGAATCGTCATTACTCAAGTAAAAGCTAAAAAACCATGTATTATTTTGCAAAAAAAATATGTTTTAGGTAATTAAACGAAGAATCACCAAGAAAAAATGTATGGAATGTTGTGTACAAATTACAGAATTTAGTTCCGTGATTCATTAGCTATTCAGAAAGGTACAGGTGTTTANAATTCTTCGTTTAATTACCTAAAACATATTTTTTTTGCAAAATAATACATGGTTTTTTAGCTTTTACTTGAGTAATGACGATTCTTTCTTGCAAATTTTTATTTAAAATGTCAATCTTATTATTTAGCTATACGAATACAATAAAAAAGTTAAGATTATTCCGTATTCTTCATTACAAGGGTACATTTTAACATAAAAACTGGAGATTTTTTTAAAAATACTTAAATCTTGAATAACTTGGAAATGAACAAGTTTCGGACATGGTGTCATATGACTTAAATGACTGCAAATAAGCTCTACTTTAACCCCTTTCAAGGAATGTATCGCTTTACCTGTCACCCTATATCGTATTCGTATATCAGATACAAGCATTTTTGTTACAAAACAACTTCCTCCTTTATTAGATGCCACAGTAAAGACGATTCTTAAATTTTTCATTGTAACATTTCTATTAAGTACATAAATGCATTTATTTATAGTAATTACAGATTCAGTTTGCCGGTAACTAATTACTGATGATATTCCGAACGCTTTTTCTATTTTTTATCAAACATTTCCTCTATCCTGATTTTTTAAATGTTAGGTATCATTCATTAGTTTGGAATAACGTACATTCTTCAAAACTTACTCATCCAAATTAGTCACATGGTCCATTGTCCTAGTACCTGTGGCTTCGTATCTGATAAGG